CTTCCCAATATGCGTTTTTGCAATTTACATATATGCAAAAACGCATAAAAATCGGTACAGAGGCCCTGCGCATATACAGACACACATACACACATAGACCACCTTCCGTCAATATGCTTTTTCCGCATTGGATAGCTGCAAAAAACGCATAAAAACGCGTAGCTGTTTCGGATCCCTCTGCCCATCAACCTTTCATTGCTCTGCCAATGGTACCATCCATCATTTATAAATATCAGGTCTCAGCCCTTTTTTGCAGTACGCAAAGTCAATGTTCCGTCAATTTCATAAAGTTATTTTCCATTTCACAATGTTCAATTGTAAATAATCGTTGACTTATTCTACTTTTTTTCCGTCTTTCTTGATAATTATCGCTTCTTACGAAATGGAGAAGTAGAAACTCATCTTTGTTCTGAAGGCCTCGTTATTTTTTACAGTAACTCAAATTTCGACAAAAACGTTATTGAATTTATCCGCATGTCCAAGAATGTGCGCATAGCTGTATTCGCTCTCTCCAGGAGAGGAGTAAGCGTTTGTGCGAAAGCCAGTGTAGCAAATGGTAGCAACTCCAGCGGTAGCTAATGCGAAAGTCAACCACCTGCTGAAAACGCTGTCGGTGGTGCCCTCTTATTCAACGGCTGCACAGAAGCAAGCTGATAGCGTATGCAGAATGAGGATTTTTAAGAATATTGTAAATTCACTAAATTCGAAAGCTATGCGATCTCTCTAAAAAGAAAAGATTCTGTGCAGCTAGAACGTGTTTCTGTAGCAGTTATTTGTGTTTGTGCCGTCGATTCTGGCTTGAATGTTAAACAGTGTTTAACACTCGAGTGTTTAACACCCGATTGGATGATGTATGCCCTTCCTCGAGCATAACTGTACGGAACAAATTAATGCAACTGATTTGCTGAATTTTTCATCTTTGGTGACAGTCAGTGGCACTAAACAACGTTTCATGCCACCTGTGGCTTGCATTCTTCTTGTCTACCTCGTCCAACTAAATTCGGCTGCACCCCGAAGGCACAGATCTATTATGGGAGTGATTAGCCGATCAGCAGCAAATTGCCGGAGCCGATTGTTTTGGTACCCCAAGCCGAATTCACTTGAACACGTCTTTGAAATGTTCAGCGGCTGTGGAATCAAATGCTGGATCAACCGAAAACGCTGGAACTGACTCTACAGAAAAAGATGGAGAAGATGGAAGCTCCAATTATGATCACTTAGAAGGGCTTAGTGAGGAATGACTATCCGAAGAAAATTCACGTTTTCATTTGACAGTGTGGAATGGAATTCTGGTTCTGATTCAGATTTACACCGAAAATCAGGCAAAGTGCGAGATGCAGATTCGCCAACTGAAGCTAACGCAATCAGTGTGGAAGAGCAGCTGGAACAATTCATTGGGGAATGGCTGACCGAAGAGCATCCGGTTTCAGATTCGCCTCAATGAACAAACAGTAAGGAAAAAGATTTGGCCCACGTTCAAGTCAACGATCGAAAGCAGGCGCAGAAGTGACAGATTTACTAGACAAATCTGAATGTACCCAGTATAGGATGGAACAAATCGTTGCTGGAGGGAAACAGCTGAACAAAGGACACGAAATTTCGATTTTGGTTTCATCATCCGATGGCGAAGAGGCGGTTTCCGGTTAAGCTCCAACCTTAATTCGGAGATCAAGCACAGAGCAAAGCACTAAGCAGCTTGATGCTGCAGGCTTGTCAAAGAATCCTGAAAATGTCTATGTGCCCTTTCAGCTGGAACAATATGTCGACGACTGGCTCTGATCGAAGAAAATTGAATTGAGAATTCCACTCTACCAGTCAACAGCGGAAAAGATATTAGTTCAAATACAGGCCCATTTTGGAAATCAAACCCGGAATACGATAAGAAGCTGAAATTTATGGACCTGCCAGCGGAATCCAGAAAAAACTGCGTTTCTCCTCAGCTGGAGCAGCTGATTGAAGAATGGTTGGCCGAACAGGAAGAAACTACAAATTTGGCCCTACCAATCAACAATCTGAAACCAAGCTCAGGCTGGATAACAAGTGCAGGTAAAAGTACAATGAAAGTGAAATTACTAGACAAACCTGAAAAAAATTGCACCCACCGTCAACTGGAGCAATTTCCTATAGAAGAATTAACTGAACAGAATGAATCTTCTTATCTGAACTTAACAACCGGCAATAAAAACCGGTCTGTGATACAGACCTGAGCTTATATGGGAGTTCAGGTACACAGTAGAATACTGAAGAATTTCATGGCACAAATTTATCGGCAGCTGCATTTGAACAAGCCTGGGTCTCCGGAAAACTGGAAAATTACATTTCTGAATGGATGTCTGAAGAGTATAGAACTTCGACTTTCGTCGCATCATCTAATATGGAATCAGACTTCCATATAAGTTTGCGCTTAAGCAAGGAATCACACGCGGAAGGAAGTGCCAAAAAAGTTAATGTGATCCAATCTGATAATCAAAGCTTACAGATAAAGCTATTAGCGAAGTCCGATGATTGTGCTAAGTATTTAGATTTAGCGAAATTGCCGTCGGAACAAGTAATATGTGAAGCTTCGGATTCTGGATCTATTGAGCTCATAGAATTGCAGCCAAATGCTACGATGAAGCTACAGTACGCGAAAGGCAATCAAAACAAAACTGTTGTTTCCCGGAGCGCATTACTAGCACACACGATGTTAAGCGAAATTCGCACCACAGGAGTACGATTTACCGATTCCACAAAATTATTCGGAAACACTGTAGAAACGGAAAATTTTTCATTAGTTCTGCCCACAGTGCAAAAGTTTGGCTTAGCTTCATATCCACCCCATAACTCAGTCAGCAGTGCACTGCCTTCGCAAAAATCCATCGATTATGAATATGGGCTAAATCCGTTTTCCTTACAAATCTCTACTGACACTGAAGTTGAATTATATCCATTTCCTAGGCAGATTTGCACTAAATATGAAGACGGATCAAATCCGCTTTCCAGAAAAAACCTGACTGGTGAAGAAATTGAAGCAAACGCGTTTTCCTTCCAAATTGCCACCGAGGATGAAACTGGATTAAATGTGGTTCCCTCGCAAAACTACGGCGAAGGTTATTTTAGATCAGGGCCAAGTACCCAGAAAAAGTCTGCTGATGATCGAACCCAAGCAAATTTGACCGCTGGGTATTCGTCCGATTGCCCTTTTCAATCAAAGTTATGTGCAAACTACATTGATAACAATGTACCAGAAACACTTCAGATTCTCACCTACCGTAAATTGATGTCTCCGGAATCAAAAGACGTGAAAATTGACGGACTAAGTTTATCGGGCTCGCATTAGTTTTCAGTTCAAAATTCAACAACGTCCGGTACAGAATCTTTGTCATTAAACAGTGAAGTGTCGTGCTTTAAAAGGCTAGTTTCTGGAGCATGCGGCCAGGAATAAAACACTTCCCGTCATTATGCATGACATCTTGCTAGTAGGGCAATATCACTACAACTGGCTTCACTGTAGTATCATAAAACAAAATCGTACTACGCTTTTAGAGCACTACAAGGGACACTTATTGGAGCATGAGTTATACAAGTGTGAAGAATGCTTCAAATTTTTTGGCTCCTCTGCTCGACTGAATAAGCACAGAAGATCAGTGCATTCGGGAAAAGGTGCGTTCAGCATGCGGAAGTTCACAGCAATTTTGCGTTTCGCACGACTATGTGTTAGTAGTAATCGACAGAGCGAGTAGGGAGAAAAACAGGAGTGTTAAATTTTGGTGGTTTTGGCTTCTTGGCATGTGACAATACGAACGAGTGACAAAGACATTGTTTTTACTCGTGTGATTTCCAAAAGATCGAGATTAAGCCTTCACGGAACAAGATCAAACAAGGGTTGTGCAAACTACTTATCGGACTAGTTAGAGTTAGGTGAAAATAGTTTGCTCAGTCATAAATCTGGCGCGTATTTATTAGCAGAATACTTTTACCGACACTATCGCAAAACTACTATACAAACTACTTATCAGGAACTCCTCGGACGTTGTCATTAACACAAGTAAAAATGGACTTAACTTTTGAAGCATAATTTATCATATTCGATTTTTTTACTTTTCAGAAGGCAATCCTTTTTCTAAAGTACATAATTCCAGGTCGCTATTGTTGCACTGTTCCGGGATGTGATCTCAGTTACAAGCTTGCTACCGGGCTAAGCTTCCACATGAAAGAGAAACACATGCAGAAATCATTCAAATGTTCAAAATGCGACAAAGTGTTTGCATTCAGTTTTCAGTGTAAAAATCATAGTTGTAAAAAGGTCTAAAAACTAAATATCTCAACAAGTTTGGATGAATTTTTTGAAGCGTTTTTGAGAAAAAGGAAAAATTTGGGTGCTTTTTTTATGGAACAGGACACTAGCAATTTTTTTTTCGCTAACTTTGTCAATTCGTTAATAAAAACTATTTATGCTGCAACAAAAAATGTCAGTAACACTAAAAGTATCTGGACAAATAAGCATGAGGACCCCACGTTAATGATGCTGCTGAAGCAGCTGTGAAAAGATCCTGTGCTGCACACCTTCAGTTACCTACGGCTTATTCAATACTTAGACGCGCTACTACTTCAAAGATTGCTCGGGTGATCGTTTATTTCCTCGATGGCACCACTCGCTCTTTCGCAGCGCCCACCGGCTATCAGCAACACGAGCAAAATGCTCTGCCCATTGGATTTCGCATTCTCGCGCAGTCGTAATGATATCCTCCACGTTACTCATTCGACTGAGAATCTGACTGTTCATGGCAGTTACGCAGCGACACTCAAAGCAGTCTTTGTCCCACTACTCTCTCCTTCATAATTAGCAATAGCTCTTCTGACGGTGAACACTTTTTGCACCCTTGCATCATTGTTGAATACGGGTCAAAAAAAAAAAAAATTTCAAAACAAACTTGGGCTCCGCGTATCATCAGATCTGTATCGCCGTAAGTGACAGCGCGATCGTGCTTCACTGGCTCGCCATCCTGTAGCCATATAACCTAAAATCATCGAACATCAATGGAAAATATTTTGCAAAATTTAAAGCATTCAGAAGCCACTGTTCTAACTTTTAAAAATGTACGTAGGAATGCTATTCAGTGCATTAACATCTACTTGGACGGGGAACATCCCTCTAAAATTTCAGCACTCTAGCTTCTCGGATCACCGAGTTATGAACTTGTCCGAAAAAAAATTGGCGGCCCTGTACGCGGAAACCACGATTGTACGGCGGATGCTTTTCAGTGCATTAACATCTACTTAGACGGGGAACATCCCTCTAGGATTTCAGCGGTCTAGCTTCTCAGATCACCGAGTTATGAACTTATCCGAAAAAGCTTTGGCGGCCCCGTACGCGAACACCACGCCTGTACGGCGGATGCTTTTCAGTGCACTAACATTTGCTTGGACGGGGAACATCTCTCGAATATTTCAGCGCTCTAACTTCTCGGATCACCGAGTTATGAAGTTATCCGAAAAAAAATTCGTGCTCTAAAATTTCTGTACGTGAAAGCTCACATCAAGACATCTAACGAAACCTTTGGTTTTGGATTGCCTCGCACAGGACAATGTAGGATAACGTCATTTCCTTGAACAATTCGTGGGTTTTGATCGATCTGTTCCTCGATATGCGGCGATGTTAAGACAGTCACAGTGAAGCCAGCTTCCGCTTCACCAGCAAAATTCTTTGCAACACAAGAATAGCTACCAGAATCTGCTCTGAAAATCATGATCTGGTTTTTGAAAAATTCATTACTCCACCTCCCTTTTTCTCAGGTTTATATAATTTCAGTGACAAAACCATACAAGGGAGTTCCCTGCAAATATCAATCGCCATGTGTTAAAAATTCCAAGGGTTTTCGCATCTAGCATAAAATTGATCACTTGAAAAAATAGTGGTACCATGCATGATGCTTTTAATACCTCCAGAAACGTTTTATGCACTACACTGAGACATATAAACACAATCGCCAGGAGGAAGTAAAAATGATGAGGCACTAAAACCACAATTCCCAGTCTCTTCGCCTCTTGTAGAAAGAAAAATAAAGGAGTAACATGATTTTGAGTCGAAGCTACACAATAAACAAGAAAAAACAGCTGCATAAAACTGAATCAATAATTCAAACAGCTGAACTGTTAACTCTTTCAAGAATCAAAACGAACGTCAGGATTACAAACGGGTGACCACTGTTGGAAAAGTTGCTAGCCGCAGTTCACAATCGGGGAAACCACCCTCTGAAGTGCAAAGTAAGAAACTGTCAAGAAAATCTTCTGTTACCTGTGCGACTTTAGAATCATCAGCGTTTCACCGCGTGGACTTAAAATAATGTTTCTCATATCTTCGATCGGTCGTCCGCCACGCATCCAGCTGAAAGTATCATTCAAAAAAATATAGTGGCTGCTGATTAGTGCAGCTCTAGTACAAATATTCTCTGAAGGATTTTGTTCAAACGCTCGAGTTCGGAAAAAAGAAACCCAATTTGAACCTAAAATTTCGACTCTCTCAGGACCCAGTAATCTTCCCCGTCAATTTAACACTCGAATTTAGTTTCCTTAACTTCCAAAAAATTAGCATTGCTTACCTGAATTCAATACTGCTATTGAGATTTCAGATTTTTGTCTTATTTCGTCTATTTTGACAAATTCCGATCGTGAAAGAGACGCGCTGAATTTTTCTTGTTCAAGAGTGTACGAAAGAGGCGGAGGAGGAAGAAGAAGCCTCAGTACGCCGATTATTACGTACTGAAGCTTCTGCTCATTTAAGAAGTATGCTACGTGCTGACGATCCAGCTCCGAAGAGGAGGTACGCGAGGATGTAAGAGAGTACAAAATAATCATTTTCTTTGGCATTCAGAGAGTCTTATCCCACCCAGACTAACTGGAAGCTAAAATATAAATCTAATATTTTTGTTCCTTCATTTCTCTTCAGAAGGAAGCACATACGTGATAGTCGGTTCTGGATGACCATCAACCTTACACTCCAAACGAGTGCGCTCGCCATCCCGCACTCGAACATCCGGTTTCAAATCGCGGAATCGCGGTTTGATGAAAATATCAACTTCAAAATCAGCGGATGCTTTGCCCGCTTCATTTCGTGCTTCACAAGTGTATCTAAAAAGTAATTTCTAAAGTTCTTCGAACTGTTAAAATAATTTAGTGTAGTTGGAAGGAACCCGTTACAAACGCATCACAGCTTCTCAGTACAGCATCATTATGATCGCTCGGATGATCGATGTTGGAGTCTAATATTAATGATTTTAGCTAGAATACATTCGTTCATCGGCCTATGTTTTGCACTGAGCTAGTACCTACATAGCCAAGCCTGCATAAAACTCCTACAAGAAATCAGGAAATAATAACAGAAATGCCAACCTGCCCGCGTCTGAAGCTTTCGAATTAGCAATCACAAGGCGCGAGTCACGCGTATCCAGTGGTCGTCCATCTCGTTTCCAAACAATCTTTGGTTTGGGATTTCCCGTTGCAGCACATTCCAGTATTAATGCTGTGTTTTCCTTCACTTGCACTATACGTTCCCCTTCCAGAATCATCGGCGGCACTGTAAAAAATTGCGAATATTTGTACTGTCTTGACAATTTTCCTACGTTTCATTTGAAGCAATCTTGTTCCGGTAAACAGGCGAAGAATATGTTCATTAAGCCTTGCCAATAAGCACTTTTCAAACACACTGTTAACACTTTCAGATGCATAGAAGAACAGTTCTAAAATTTTTCATTTTCGAATTTTTTGCATCGTATAATGATAATTTTAGTCTGTAGATTAAAATTAATCGTAGTCTAAGAATAGTAACATTCGAAACAAAATGGTGACTCTTAATATATGTGTTAATGAAACTTTCAAACTAAAGCCTCGCCAAGATCTTCTGTCGGAAAAACCACTACTCAACTGGCATTTCGTTCGGAACACGAAATGAGCTTCATTTTCTAAGGATTTAAAATGTAACCCAGAACGTGGAGTTGCGTAGTCATACGATGTTCGCCAGCTCGATTGGTCGCAATACACGTGTACCTTCCAGCATCGCTTACATGTGCTTCCCTGTAATTTTCATTATTTTTTATGAGTTTTGTGCTGTGTAACAGCAGTACAAAACGCATATTGCCACAGGGGTGTGTGTGTGTGTGTGTGTGTGTGTGT